TACTTGCTAATACAACTAGTAAAGTGGGAGTCAGAACTATAACCACAGTAACTACAACTCCACTCAGTCACTGGCCATAACATTTGATGAATTTGTCTAGCATTTTCCCAGGTCCTCGGTACATCTTGATCACAGGTGATTAAAAAGTATGTTGGTGAACAGATGTAAGAAGTAACAAAATGGTAACAACTACATCGAAAATCGGGGAAAAAATACCTGATGGTGTTGGAAACATTCTAATTATACTCACAGCACCATTGTCAGAGGGCGGTCTACTGAAGAGCAGAGAAGCTTTGAGTGAATAGCAGTAAGCCGAATAATGAATCCTGCTTCGCGTTCGCAACAACTTGGATGGACTATGATGATTGTATTGAGGGAAATTACAAAGAAAATTATAACTCTTGGACTAGAACTGATCTCAGAATTCGTAGGAGTGAGCTCTGTCGATGCCTCGAAGATCATAGACTAAACGGTACTTGGACACTGAAATCACATATAGCAAACCGTGGCCTGTAAGGAAGGCTACATGGCAACCTTAAACAAGCACTGAAGGACCAACCAGCGTTGTAATTTGCTGTTACTAATGAGACCGTTAGATTGACTGTGGGTAAACTGCTACCTCAAATTTAACTTCACAGAACAGGAATGCTACGCTGACGCAGTGTTATTACTTTAAAGATGCGAAAAGTATTCGAATATTGACGTCTTTACCAGTAACACCTTCATATTCTATGTATGCCAGCTCAGTCAAATCATAAATCAGAAGTGAAGAGTTTCGAAGTTCTCCAACGGTTACAAATGATGCATGGCACGGCGTACATATTTTTGATCTGGTATGCATGCGTCACTGAGCACATTCAGCTAGGTGAGTCCAGTAAAAATAGTGCGGTAAGCACCAAACGTCGAGGATTTACAGAACTATATATTTTGAGGATTTATTTAACGCTACGACTTATATTCATTAGGGACCTCCATGAAACAAAAACTTTATAAACCCTTATATTTGTGGACGACAAATGCTTGTGAGAAGCTATTGGTAATAAATACAAACTTTGCCGTCTAGAGTCGCTCTTGCTGGGTTAGATGTGATTAGAAGTCCATGTGATAATTGTATACAGAGAACTAAAGAATTCAGGTTACCCCAATAAAAATATTATACAGTTACATCACAAATTTACTTTCACAGGCAAAGTTGGACAGACAGTAGCTTAGAGATCCCAACCAAGTGTTTTCTACTTCAAATGTCTGTGAGCTACCCACTTAGCTAATGAACTCAGATAGTCACTCACTTTTGGAATGAATGTGAAGCAGAATTTAATTTATAATGATATGGGTGATTCTTCTGTTAATCTTCACTATGGATTTTGACCAGTCTATCTTAATCCTATGCAGGTTACCCAAATCTTATAATTATTTCATAATTTCATAATAAATAGATAGTATGCACATTCCATTAAAAATAAACTATCGAGAATTTATTACTTAAGTAGAGCAAAGAAGTCTTCAATAATAAAAAAGGCGACTAAACATTACCTATCGAATCCTGCCGTAGTGAAGGCTTACGCTTCTTTTTTCAACCTCAAACTTAACTATAAAATGTTACAGAATCCCACCTCATTTCAAGCACCAAACCTCTTAGAGAGTTCTATTGATAAGCAGTAATATTACATCTGTAAATGCAACTTACGATCCGTTCAGAGACATGTAGGAAATTTTCAATTTGTGAATTTTTGATGTAGTAAAATTAGTGTTTGAATTTATGAGACTTTTTTTTTCAACATTGAATTTAGAAGTTTGTGATACTTTTAGCAATTCATTAGGCGGGTTTTTCGAAGTCCGGCATACTCACGCGGTTTGGTGTTTGTCCTGATAGCTGATATCAAATATGGCAATTCGACCTTTACATCACCCAAGGATAATCAAGAAGCACCCAAAGAAATGGCATCGTCATCACAGTGATCTGTACAAACGACTCGGGGACAAATGGAGGAAACCAAGAGGTATAGATAACAGAGTTCGACGGAGATTCAAGGGGCAGGTGCGTATGCCCAAAATTGGTTATGGAAGTGCCAAACGAACTCGTCATATCCACCCTGATGGCTTCAAGCACGTTTTGATCCGCAATGTTAAGGTGAGCCTCTAATCTTCTAACTCGGTTTTTAAGGAGCTGGAGGTATTACTTATGCAACATCGCACTCATGCTGCAGTTATCGCACATACTGTGGCAAGAAAAAATCGTGTCAAAATTGTTGAGCGTGCCAAACAACTTAGCATAAGAGTTGTGAACGCCAACGCTGGCTTGAGATCCACTGAAAATGAGTGATCAATAAATACAGGTTGGTATACGAAGCGTCTTCTCAGTTAATGCACGGGCGAATTAAATGATTATCATTTTGCAAGTGTTCGCAGTGTTACATGTAGCGAACACTCCAACTGTGATTTCAAGCTCAGGAACTGTGTAGTTGCAGTTTGACGCGAGTAGTAAGTTTAGAATTAATCGTAGGTCGGAATATAATCAGTGTGGTTACGTAGCTGGTAGGAATCTGTTATATTTACGAAACCATCAAAATCTTTAGCTGACTTCTACGTACATTTGTCAACTTTTTTAAGCAGTGTAGTACCAGCGCAGTTATCACTCGTTTTCGGCACAAGTTATTTCAGCGAAATACTGGGTGGTTGTTTTCGTCCAGTTATTAGTTTAACCGAGTAATCATCATCACCATTCATTTTACTAAGGATTCGAGCTATAAGTTGAATGGTGGTTGGCAAATTTCCCTAATCAATAATCATATATTTGATTATCCTTGAAGTGTTTACAAGTTGCAACACGTGAAGACGCTATGTTGTCGCCTCAATTTGTTCTTGAATAGATTGCATTTGTGTCGAAACCAAATTACTCTGTAGATGAATACCGTAGCGTCAGACGAAAATGTGGTATCCATTATCAATCCCCGTAAGTGCGCGAGCGTCATTGTCTTACTACTGAAGTTTCTCACACGGTTCTCGCTCGGGAGGTACAGTAAGTGATCTTATGCAGTCAAGTTGAGGTAATTGCCAAATCAAACTAACCGTGAACATCTGCCTAGTAGTGAATGTTTCTTCATAAGTTCTGTGAATAAAGTGACGCTTCGTTCTTGTCGTCCTTCTATTGTACATAATGCAAAATCTTTGTGTATTAGTTCCTTTTTCGTTGGTCGAGTGATTAGTCCTGTCCGTTGATAGTGCGTTAGATCGCTAGCAATGTAATCGTTTATATGTTAAGCAAATACTGCTGGCATTATCCAGATATCTAGATCTCATCAGTCGAGAAAGTCTCCAAGTGCTCTGCTACGGCTAAAGGTAGGAATAATCCCTCTCCAAATGCTCTCGTATACAGCTACTACCAGGGAAAACCTCATTGCCTTCTCGTGTGGGGGTGTTTGCAAAATTGAGCGGATAAAAAGCGTAAGTCCGGCCCCTCAACCGGGTTGCTGGATTTAGACGTTCTACCTAGGGAAGTTAGAAAACTCGACTTCTAACGCGGTGGCTACAGAATTCTCAAGAAACAAATAACATGTGGACCAGTGGTTAGTCACCGACTATTATGGGACTGCATATCCTGACGTTGCTCCACTGCCTTGTGGATCAGGTCATAGGCTACAAGTGTGGGCCCTCAAGAAAACCTTTTCCTTTGGTTCGGGCTGTATCATAGCTCACATACATATTAAGTGATTTCTGTGGTAAATATATATTTTATGCCCCTTTGTACCAATATTTATGTGTTCAAATAAATTACAAGGATGTTGATCTTGGTTGCATGTCTAAGCTAATAAACTTCTTAATGACGCACTAGGCAGATGTGCCATAGGTCCTACTTTCGTTTGTCACTTTGTGGAGATCTATAGGCCATCACGTCCTTGCCACTCCATGGGAACAGTCTAAAGTGATGAGCGCTCCTTTGATAACTAAATCTGACATTCGTTTAACTTATGTTGGTCTCAATACCGAATGTACCCTCATACGCTATCTAGTTCCATCCTGAGTAAGGCCACGGGGCTCTGACCGCATTCCACTTAGCTGTCGTTCTGAAGTCGCAGGTTTACTTGTAAGTCAGTTTCTTACGATGGCCATCCTCGAATGAAATCAATGCATAAGTTGTTATCATGGTTGCTGCTGCTCATTTGCATTATTGTTTCCATTTTGCGAATTTTTTACTCTCGAAAAGTATTTGCTGATGTGATCAGTGCTTGTTCGGCAACGAATTCCAACAGTCAAACACTAAGAAAGTGATAATTCAGGCTAAAGCTTTATCCTTCTACCGTGTTACATCAATCCGGTTAATTGTTCCCAGTACTCGGACTGTCCCAATGAAAGTATTTGTACGTGAGGTTCATATGTACAAATAATCTTCGAGAGAACTTATGGCTATCTGTCAAGCTGTATGCAGATTCGTAATATATATTTTATTCGCCACTTCAGAAGTAGTAATGATATTGGACTTGCTGATATTCTTACTAATTTCACTTTTCTATCTAGTCGGACGTTTTTTTTGACCTGGTATTTTGTATGTTGTATTAGGAGCTTAGGAGTAGGATCATTTGTTTTGCGACTCTTGTTTGTCCTTTTTTGTTTATCTCGTTTAAATTCAGTGGGTTCTCATCTCAATAACATTCTCAATCACTATTAAGGGTTTTTCAGTTGATTTTCTGATGTTATTCCCATAAGTAAAATAGTCATTAAGTACCGATTTATCCAAAAAACGTAACCGTGTAGGTTACCACAGACGAAAGTTTATGTCATATTCGTCATAGAAGTGATCTAAATATTCTGATGGCTGTAACCTTGAATACAGTTTAAAAAGTCTTGCTCTGTCAGCTTCGTACTATCGTTCAATTGTTTTAGGTTTTTCGTATGTTTAGCTAATAAACTTGCGTCCTGTTACGGACGTGTTAGTATTCAGGATTATGACTTCAATTTGTTATTTTATATACGTACTACAACTGGTCATAACGTTTTAATCAAGATGAGTATTGGACAATTATATTTAATAGAACATTTAATCTATGATTATAATTTGATATATTCTCTGTATTTTCTAAAATTGATATGTCCGTAAGGTATGAGTAATCTCAAGCTAAACTGTCTTCGTCGACCCATGTGTTTTGTGGTATCATCTATAAACAGAGAAAAATGTTAAAATGATAGGAGTATATGTGAAATAGCTATAATAGGAAAGCCACATATCTCACTTGTAATTGAATAGTTATTTCATTTTCTAATTAAGTGAATCAAATTTTACATAAATCACTAACTGTGGTAAGATCGACTTGCTGGATTACACTGGTTGCTTATTTTAAAGAAAGATGATAATCGCTTTTGTAATATATAATTTGATAGAAGCGACTACCTCACAATAGATTGTAATCTAATCCACATTAGGTAAAACTCACTGCAATTGGTATTCTCACCGCGTTTGTAGAAAAACCCTTTGATATTATTTGTCACAAAAGACCGGCTTAACAGTACAAAAATTGTAGCAGAAATGGAAGCAAGTCTTTTTATCTTATCTCCGATAAGTCACTTCCCGTCTGGCTGGCTATAATCATACAAGTCCAGCATCATGCATCAGAAAACTGATAGCGAAATTATTTGCTTGAATCTTATGTGCATAAATGAAATATCCAAGTGTAATCATGTATGACAAGAATAAATGGAAGTGTTCATATTGTAGTAATGGTGAATTTAATTGTCTCAGCTTGGTTAATCTTTCTGCATTTCGGCAGTCGCAACGAACTCTGCATAATGTTTAAGTGTTTAGTCAACATATATATGACTGAACAGCAGCATTTCTGATATATATATATATATATATATATATATATATATATATATAGTAGTTTCCGTCACGGAATAACTTCGGAGAACCAAAAGAAGTTTGGAAGCAACTTTGTAGCCGTCTAGGACTCGTCAACATACGAAACAAAACCAACCTCAAGACGAACGTCGCAAAACTACTGAGCTATGTACACATCCTCGACCACAGTCATTTCTCAGCCTAACATTTTACGCGTGACTTAGGCCCCGATGCATAGCATGTCATAGGTGTGCAATTTTGAGGAGCTTCGAACTACAAGGGAACAGATATCATTTGCTTACTTAATTTAATTGGTTCCTTAGTTGATATTCGAGTCGGTGAGACTTGTCATCAACATAATACTGTTCGAGTTGTAACTTACTTCTCTTAGTAGATATTACCGCCAAATGAGTAAAGTAATGATATACTTCACCAAAGTAGATACCAGTCGTCGCTTTAATTTTTTCCGCTAATATTGTTCAACCGAAATGAAGCAATAATCTGTCTAAGGCGGATGGCAAGAGAAAGTCCAAGTTATTTTTTGCTCCACAATATGTTTCATTCTACACTATTACATGTTTAGAAGCAACGTTCAGAAAAATTATCAGTTATCAAACACTTGTTCGCTATGTACTTTCTCAGCAATGCTGCAATTAAATTATAGTCTTGGCGGACATCAGTCTCCTTATGGAGTATATGTAGTTATACCAATAAGCTGTGATTTGCAGATGTAAGTCGATAAGTACTCACCTCATCTGATTCCCAAGTAGCTTCCGGACGTCACATGCTTTCCATTTTATTAAGAGAGAATCTATGCTAAGTGAACAAAATGTTTCCGACAAATTAAGTTGTCATTATTTGAGATGATACAGTTAAGCACGAGGCATAATTTATAAACCTAGTCTCATCGATGGACCAGCGCATGGTTAAAGTAATAAGATTGGTGTCAGTTGTTCCAAAATATCCCATTGACTATGGTCTTCATATTTTTTGAAGTCGCGGGAATTCTCACTAGTTTTAGCAATGGTACTCATCACTGACAAGTAACAAATGCTAGTTAATTGGTATCATCACATAATAAGATTAAAGTTCTAAGAGCAATCACCATAATAAAGCTTACATTCATAATTTCATTATACTGTTTTAAGCATAATTTATCATGTAGATAACCGCTGACGTGAAATTTCTTGGAAACGAGTGGGATTGTAATACTGTTTAATTCATTATATCTTTTGAAGTTTGTTGGTAATAGTAGGAAATTTACTTGCTGTGCTTCAACAAATGGTGCATTTATAGACGGTGTGTGTTGTACATCAACACAAGCCATAGATGATATAAAACCGTCAGCTGAGGCGGTAACTATGTATTTGCCTTCTGTAAGAAGTCGATAATAATATCCAAATTGATCTAAAAAAGACGAAAAGCAAACGTAACGTTTAAACTAGTAAATTGTCTTATGATTGACATCTAATCCCTGTTTTTATGATGAAACTTATATTTTAGTAGTAAATAGTTCATATCTTACGATTAATATTTAAATGCTCAAGATCTAAATTTTGAGCTTGTTTCATTTTGTTAATATATTTAAGAAGGGTGAATTTGGATTATTGACTTATCGGGTCTTGTTTATTTTCCTCATTCACTGCGTTATAAATTTAGTAGAAAAATCCGACCCGAGGTTTCCTCGTGGCGCTACTGGGTAGTAGGAGAAACCGACCGTCGTTGCTACCTTGACGTGGTGGTTTGTTTGCGTATCGTGATGAATCAATCGAGCTATACTGGCTGGAACAACCGTTTCTCAAGGTCCTACCATGTCAGACAGGTCGGTTGAAGAGCGGTAAGACTAAAAGCAACAAACCCAAGGTCCGAGGGCGAAGTCGTACGGCTGACTGTACAGAGGTGTGACGGCAGTGAGGTGTTTTCTTCAGACAACCAGCATAGCAGCGATGCTGCTTTCCCACAAGGAAGGGTTGGGTTAGAAAATGTCGACCCTGAAAATGCACACTTCTCCTTATCCCACGGATATCCATCTCCGGCGGTAAGGTCTCAGCAAGTACGGAGCTAACACGAAAATAACCCACAAAAAGGTCGTGTGTGACCGACCTCAAGCAGTTGTCCCTTGGGCACTGCGGTCACACTCTCAGGTCACTAAGATCACCTTTAATCCAATTTCCTTTTCAGGTACCACCCTAATACTTTTAAAAGCACTGAGGACCACTGTATTCATAATCAACCTCCTTCAATTCCTATTATTTCTCTTACATCGACTTTCAACTCTAAACTTCCTCCTTTGTCTTCCTCCTCAAGTGTCACCATAGTCAACGATTCGAGTGCGCAAAACACTGTCCCAGGTCTACTGAAACCTCGCTCCTTATGTCAAAACGGTCAGCAGGCCTCCTTGGTTAAAACCCTAGAATCTCGTACCATTGATGTATGCTGTGTCTCATACAGGATCCTAGTGTGGTTATATGTTTTAGCTGACTAACTGAGGGGAAACCTTACCAGTTAACCTGGGCGGAGATCAGATTACTTGGGGTCTCCAACCTTAAGGCTCTCAAATCTTGTGGGCTGTCTGATGTGTATGCTGATGTCTATGAATTGAATGAGTCTCGGTTTATGTAATTGTATATGTAGGTATATGGATAGGGTTTGCAAAATGAACGTAAGATGAAATGTCTGCCCTATGTATTACAAAATCAGAGGTCTAGTCCAACAGGTTGAAGACGGTAATAAATACTAATGGGAGGTGACTACCAATCCTACGCGAGAGTGCTTATACGTATATGTGTCATGAAGTGCATGGGCGAAAGTCCTCGAACCTGTGGTATCCATGTAATTATCAAGAGACACTTAGTTTCACCAAATACGTCTGACGCGAGTGGTAACTTTCTATCCTTTCGAGTGGGTGTTATACCAATATGTATGATATGGAATCCATAAGCCAAAAATTAGGTGTTACTGGCATGCATGTCAGTCAGTCAGCTACAATGTAAGACCAGGCACATATATGCATTGGTCCAAGTTGCCATACCTCATTAGCACAAGACGAACAACAAATTCATAGAAGTAGTTACTTCAATGGTAGTAATATATAAAAGAAATATTGTGTATAAAGTCTAAAGTAGTCAGTCTCACGATTTAAGGGAAGACAGAGTGTATATACCGACGCCATTGTGATCGATTCTGAGCCGTGTCACCCAGAGCACAGGGCTACCAAAAGACTGCATTTTTTCAGCGCCTTCATCAAACAGGAGTATGTCATCTTCGTATTCTAAGTCGACCAGTGGACCTCCTGATAAGAGATCAATACCCGAGATTTCAGTCGAAGAGTATGTCTATGGTGAAGTTGAACGAAAATTGAGAAGGTGGACAGCCTTGCCGGACACCACTTGGGGATGCAAAAGCAGATGACAGTTCACCATAAGCTCTCACTCGACTAGCAGTATTCGAGTAAAGATAATATCCTTAAAAGTGGTCTCAATTTCCAATCGTTCCAGTTTATGTGGAAGCACAGGATTTAACTTTAATAATACAGTTTATGAAACCATTCAATTCCTATTTCTATGATCCCGATACTAAAACACAGAACTTAAAGGTAAAAAATCAATCAACACCTTATTGTTCATAGTATTCCAAGATGCAAATATATTAAGTGACCTGAAAACGTGTTTGATTTACTCAAATAAAGGGCTTAATATTAGTCTGTTATTAAGTGAAGTAATGAACAGTTATGTCTCTATTTGACTGTAGGAAATATATGAGGAGAGATCTGTTGTGATCAGAAGGCACTATTATGCCACATGCAATTATGAACACAGTGAGAATTTAACTAATATTACAGGATTGATGTACATTAACTATCTCACTCACTTGGAGAATAACATCAGTTTGGTTGGGCGATGATTCCACACAAATATAGAAAAATTCAGCCTCATTTAACAGTTTAAAATTTATGATACTATGGATGCTTCATCAAAGAATAGATACACTATGTAGTAATGCAACTGGGACCAATGTAGAGCTACAAGATAGGACTGCTAAACGCGACAAGAATTCTATCAGCAGTGTCTGAATATTATTCATGTACATGAGACTTCGAAAAGAACGAGATTAAAGTTAGACACAGGTCTTGATAACATAAGTAGAATTATTAATTTTTATCGAGCACAGTGGAATGCATGGTTTATTTACTCATGTGTAGTATAACGTTTGCAGCGCTGAATGATGTAAGATGAAATAAACATAAGATAGAAGCAACGAACTGCTGTCAGACGTGGATACAGCTCTAGCTATGGGGACAATAACAGTTGGTTTGACTTTTGTGCAAAAGTGTAGATCCCTTGGTTGACTTCACTAACTCCTATGTCTTATCTAAACTTTTATTTAATGGGTTGTTTTATTTGACTGCGTTTTCGGTCATTTATAGTGTACTTATTTATTCTGTGAGAAACATTGTTAATACTAAGGACAAAAATATGCTTAAGCAGTAATCCATGCTAATATAGTGGTTCAAAAGAAGCGGAATTCACCAACTAAGGAAACATCAAGTTGGGCTTGTTAATCTATCTTGGAGGTGTTCCAGAATAGTAAATTTAAAAAATGTGGAAAAATTCTTACACTGTTGTCTATCATTAAAAACCATTAAATTTAGTTTACCCCTGTTTTACTATTGTGAATAATGTAGATTTATGTGACTAAACATTATTCAGTAGAAACTGTGAACATTTAAGGTTTCAGTGATCAAACAGATAGACTTACATAATGACTTGACAACTAAGATACTCATTCATCCAAGATATGATTTTGGAGTTGATTAAATGTACCCAAAATCAATTAAATTTGTTTTTCTATATAGTTCGGGATTGAATTAGTACCAAAATTTAACTCCCTCGTTTACTTAGACCAAATATTGATTATATTACCGTAATAACTGAGCAGCCGTCAGTTGGCAATATTATGTTTACTTAAAAAGTAACCAATATACATTCATGCAGTGTTTCCTTTCCTTTGTAATTATCAGTAGTCTAATCGTCAAGTTCCACTATATATGATTTAGAATATATTTAGTTGTTACATTTCAACTAGATGTTAGTTACATGTATCACCATCTCCTAGAATGTTCTGAAAAGTACTAAATCTATGGTGGGAACTAGTTAATTTATCTATTGCCAGTCAATAAAATTGAAAAAGCAAGATTTTTTCCACTTCTCAATTGTTTACTTTAATCACATATACTAAGCACAATACTAGATATTACATGTGTATACAGCTGAGAAAAATCAACATCGACATAGAGCATCCACTTGAGTTATAAGTTTTCATCATCACTGGAAAGTTAAACGTCGTCGTGTTTAATCGACAAATGAATAAGCGTATAAACATCAAAAACGCAACTGTCATAGTTAATGAGCATAAATATAGACATATATAAAAGAAAGTTTACCTGTATTTACGTTGTGAAGTATGGGAGTGCGACTAGTTGGATCAGTTATATTTGTTACCTTGATGATTGCGTATTCTATTGGAATGTGTGTATTTTCCAAATATCCATATACAGTGCCTTTAATACCTCTATGGACCTTGACATGAAATATACAGCAACGATAAAAGCAGCAATATATTATTTTTCAAAAGGTAATTTAATTAATAATGCTAAATTCGTAATATTAATTTTCGGAGACATAGCTTCTCATGTTAATAGGACAATCATTACAGTAAAGTTTGATTTTCTACTGCTTATAAATTGTCTTCAAAATATCTAATGCCGATTCCGTAACTGATGCACTTATTTATTTGTCGCTAAAAAGGAGTAAAGCTTTGAAAGTGAATGCTGACCAGTCCAAGTTTCTACCCTAGATGTAGTCCTGTTTATGAAATCATCTAACCTTTTAAAGAGGTAGATATCGATAAATCTTGTGCTATTATTGTGGTTTGTGCTATTTATACGAACATAGATAAGTAGTATATATCGGGATTTTAAAGCAGGATTCTTACTGACAGATGAATATGAGAAGAAAAGCACAAGCGGTTATAGTAACAGCAAGGGTAAGACGACGATGGAACTTCTAAGAGGCAATCCAAGGAAGGTGTCCAAATGAAATATTCAATGTATTGTTTCGATGTTTAACAAATACGTTGTATACTCTTTCATAATACAATAAATCATTTTACGCTAACCAAGACTACGTCCATTATATTATCACGTTAATCCCGTATGAATCTGATTGCTGGAGACGGATAATTAAACGTGTGTATGTCCATAGATTAAAACTAACTGATCGTTTTGTCACACACGATCGTGGCACTAGTATTAATGTTTAAAGTGTCGATATTCTTTGAGTTTTAGTAGAACCACTTTTATTCCCACTACTGGCATCGAGATAATTATTTTTTCTTCGTAGCAATTTTTAACATAGGTAATTGATAATTATGGTCAGCATAATATTCCTTGGATTCATAACTTACATCAAGTCTGCGAATTAAAACTCACTTTTTGCAGTGCATTTCAACGAATACATATGTAGTGATTTCAACACTATCACTATTTTGTTGTTAAGTGCTGAGCTTGAAATGTTGAGACGGACCTAGTGGTACCCCTGATATGTGAGTCTTCAGCAGGTTCTAAAATCATGAAGTGTGTTCTAAAGGGTTCAAGTACATCATAAGTAAAAACTAGAATGTCTGCTTTTCTTAGTGCCATATTCAGTTGACGATCCACCCTCTCTGTAAAGCCTTTACGTACATCTAATTTTTTTGAGTTTATTTGGTCATCCAGAACAATGTTCGTCTTATTGTTGAGTCGCCCGTGTTTAGCATTACGATCCCTGGTCCTTTTATTTGGTCTGGCAAAATTTCTAGTCTTGTCTACTAATTTAAAAGACATTTCAAAATGATTTTGATCTACAAGATTTATTTCAGTCTAAACAAGTATAATATACACAGTGTCTTGACAGTTGCTTTAGAAGTAACTACAAAATCTGTGCTTAGTCAAGTGAGAAATTATTATATAACTGGATAAGTATCTAAAGAAACCAATAAATGACATCAGCTAATAAACCATTAATGACGAAGGGAAACTGTCCAGCAGTAATTCGGAAATCTTTAGGAGTACACACCGACGACTATATGGGAGATATGAACCAGAACTATTGAAAAAAGAGAAATCCCAAAACTTATTATAATTCGAACTATTTTCTGTCAATAATATCATACTTGGACGAACTCAGGAATTGTTATGTTATAACGGTGTTAACTGAGTACACCAGTGAAGAACTGTACAGTCCTAAGCATGAAAACGAGACTGTATCAAGTGACAGTAAAAATCTACATTCAGACATTTAGTATATAGCAAATATGGTAAAAACGTACTTCTTTTAATTCAGTTTTTGCACCACACCTCTATACTTATGTACATGATTTACAATAGAAATAAAGTGGTTGTGTTGTACAGTCGCAACTTCGTAACTGATAGTGAAAATAATAATGAATTACTAATCAGCTAATAATAATGTAATTATAACATTCAAAGTAATTATTGTAAATTAGGTAGTTACTGACCGAAGTCAATGGAAAGTAGTTGGAAACACATGTAAACCAATAGATAGCAGTCAGTGGCCTCAAAATTAAGCTCTCGCTACGAGACCCGGAGGTCCTTGGTTCGGTTCCTAGTGAGGTCGTGAATAGGTGCTTTTGAAGAGCTCCACACCATGGCAAAACAACTCTCCAGTGCTTCCTGATCTTTCGTAGTTGTCTAACTTAAGTGGGTTCCCGAGCTCAGTAAAATTGTAAATGCATTTAAATGTGTAACAAAAGGGTTGGTAGGTTATATAATGTTTAAGAAGAGAATCGGCGTAACATAATGGTTAAAATGTCGGATTTTAATAATAGTCACATAGAAGTAAAGAGATGAATATTATAGTTGTCCAAGAACTTAAGGAACAAAACGAAACTTGGAGAAAGGGGAGAAATAACAAGTCAGTTTGGATCCTCTGTTCTGTAAACCATATAGAGAGGTGAGTTATGCAAAGTTCGTTTAAACCCGTAGGTTTATTTTTCGGATATGCATCCCAATCGCTTTCCAAGGATCGAAAAGAAGAAAACATAAACCATGCAATGAATGTAGCGTAAACTGATAGATAGGTTGGAAAGCTTTATTCGAGCCCACAAGATGGCTTTCATCAATCAAGTGAGCTAAAATACAGCTCTAAATCGTCCGTAAATACTCATTACCTAACTAGAAGGCACAGTGCTTGGAAACATGACGATGGATTTGCCTAACTGTAATTCCTATGTAACTGGCTCTACATATCCATTTGGTGATTTCCTGGACAGTTGTTGTCTAACGAACCATTCAGTCTTCTTAATAGGACATCTAAAAGGTAAATGGTATCATTTCATTCTTCCTCTAAAGTGAATATAACGGATGGATAAATAATGTCAAACATGTTATGCAAACAATCTTTTTTTCTCTACTTTTTATTACGATAAAAGTATAATTTATGCAGTGACAGTACATTTATAACAGTGTAGAATCTTGATGAAAAGCTCATAGACAATAAACATTTCTTTTCTTCATTTGTGTACTACTGTATGACAATAAATAAGTTACTTAAAATGCATTCACACATTTGTACTAAATGAAAAATCAAATAATTTAAATCCATTTACAGCTGAGTATAAGCTTTTAAAGGATGCTAAATGAAATGGATTTACAAAGCAGTCACTATGACGTTTTTCTGCTTTTATAGACGATGTACAAGCTGAGGAGTTTCAAAGTTTTCCTTTATTTTCTCTGTCTTTGTAAAAACTGAATGGTATCAGCTGAAGAAGTTTGGTGATTGTGGATTTCATTTGCCGCTATTCCTATTAAAATAGACCTAATACATCATGATTTACTTAAGTAGGTAGGAGGACAAAATATACGAGATCGAGGATCTTGACGATTATTATTACATAAACTTCATTTAACAATAATGTGTTTGGTAGCTTAACAAGCATCACATCTGATCTCATAGAAAATTCTAGAAACAACGTTTCTCGACAATGAATCTGATTTTTTGGATGAAATCCTAGTAATTGATAGGTTAGGATACTGGCCTGTGTAACCTGAAAAGAAAGTTGATACAATAAAATGGAGATTGTCGAAGTGTGAAAGTAGTTTTATGAACCACAGTTAACACACTCAGATTTAAACTCAACTCCATGTTACAAATCACACATTTCATACCCACTGTCATTCACACAAATACACACAGTGATGTTTTCTACAGAATCACCTTAACCAAACAATTCACATAACATTGGCATAATCAGACATATTTGGCTTTAATTGAAGTAAATATTTTCTCTTGTTAATTTAATTCGGCTACTTACTCATTTTCTCTGAAGAAGCGGCATACATTAAGTCACGAAACGTCAGAGATCCAAATTTCTACGCATTGGTATAACACAAATATATGACTATTCAATTATTAACCTTAAACTCAATGCTCGGTTTATTCGAAATTATCAAGCCGAACCTTAGTACCGATAGCTACAAAAATAATTGACTCAAAAAGTTTTAGCTTTTATTGAAAAATCCATTCGTTGCAAAAGCTTACTTGCAAAATATAGTTGAGCAGTGACATTTTATTTTCATTCCAATATCTTGGTAATTCGGAAGCGTTGGGATACTTTTCACAACCTAATTCCAAAGTTATTTCAAAACTATTCGTGTGCAGATAATTGTAATCTTGCATTCCTGATAAAATGGAGATCAGAAACAAAAAGATCGTATATGGAAAGAGAACAAATTCGATATTTAGAATGCCGATAATGTCAAAGAATAATATATATATATATATATATATATATATATATATATATATATATATATATATATATATATATATATATATATATATATATATATATATACGAAATTACTTAAGCTGTACATTCGTATTTATTGTTGTATGGTAAATATGTATCTACAAGGATAGAAAGGGTCGCATCATAAAGTGATTTGAGACTTCAAATGTCAAATGAGGATGTCAGAGAAGGATAGGAGGATGGAACTAATTCACGGTTCAGAATTATGAAAGATAATACGCAACCTCATTTGATATTTAAAATCTCGAATCACTGCATAATGTAATCACTTCTATCTTTTCATAGACATATTTACCAAACAACCATAGGTATAATTGCACAGCTTAAGTAGATGATTTCGTAGGAAAGAAACTTTTTTTTACTCAGCTCTCTTTATTTTTATTCATTGGGTTATTCTGATCATCTGATAATAGTCATTTGATTTAATTCGTTTTTATAACCATTTTGGTACATGTTCAGACACACTAATTTGTAGATCACGGGTACTGCTCCTTATGTATGTGGCCACGCACAAATATTTAAATTGGTAAACACAGTGGGATGTGATGTAATCATTTTCATGCCTTTTAGGTTTTTGGTGAAGTGTAGACCTTGTTTTTTTCTCTGATAGTGGCCTTTGCTGCGTAGTATGTCTCGGTAATAATTGATTCACACCTTTGTTTCGATAAATGGTTATTTGACTCACCTCTAAACAGTAAGGTGATTTTGACGGGACGTTTTGGGCCAAAGATGTAACAGGTCCCACTACACTATGACCTATCCACCGATTTATGCATTTTAGAAGATAACCATTTTCCATTGTTTTGTCCAATGAACGTTGTTATTGGTAACGAAGCAAATTTACAGTATTTTAATGTAATTCTATGACTGATGCTATACATTTAAGGATTTGTATGAGAAAAAAATACCGTGACCAACTTCAGAACATTCAACGAATTGACCTTTTAACATGAAGGTTCGACGAAAAGTTAGAAAAACCATCTTATAATTTCATTTGGTTATCATGGTATTGAATCAATTTAGGTACACGAGTTGTTTGAATAAGTTAGTTTTCTATATTCAACAAACTCTATAATATTCTTTATTCATTTTACTGAGGGAATTAAGTATATGCACTTCGAACTCCATAGGCAAACCTACGCAAAATATCAGTCACTTTTGAAATGATTTTGCCTTTCTGTATATCTATTGGTATTTTCTCTATTAGTGTGGTTGGGCTAATAATAATGATAACAGTAATAATAATATTTTCAGAAAATGATTACGAAATGTTAGACAATTGTATATCAGATTGTTATTGAGAAGATATTTGTTAAGATACATTCAGTCATATTTACTTTTATTTTCGTAACTAAATATCATTAATTACCTGTAGGTTATTTTTTTACAGATAAGTAAGCATTTCTCTCAAGAGTAATCAATAATTCTCTATCCTGCTTCCAATATCTACATCAGTTCTTTTTTCTTTCTATAAATATTTTAATGGCTATCCCTCAATATTGATTTGTTGGTCTGAACGAAGCTGTATCAACCAATGGTAATCCGCTTATTATCATTTTAAAATAAAAGGATTTAATGGTCTGTGAGTAGTTATAGATAGAGACTAAGCTGTAAATGAGTGGGTGTCGAAAAAAACAACTCACTGGAAAGGCTAATAGTGACACGTTGGAATGTTTCTCCACAAAGACATACTAAAAATAGATGTTCACGATACACGTTATGAAAAGAGAACAAATAAAAACGACTGCAGATTTTTAGATTTGATTATTTTGGAGATTAAATAACAAAAAGACGTTTGGAGAACTTATTGTCTCATACACTTCACATATTAGAGTTCAATTTTCAATTATTTGAGTACCCTAGAATGAGTTTATACACGTTCTTATTTGAAGGGATGCTTGTGAGAATGACCCGTTTATTAAGCTTTTTTCCAGATAGTAAGCAGTATGATGTTAAAGCTCTGATTACTGACCAAATCTTACCTATTATTTTTAGTTTGTGGGATATAGGAAAAATCATTCAAAATGTATGATGCAGTTTGATTACCCAAAAAACCAGCATCAAAAACACATAAAATCTCAAACTTTAAAGTTTCTCAATCAATAGAAAGTTCTATCTCAAGCTTAAGTAAGATTGATGTTCGATTAAGAGAATTAAATAAATAGGTTCTTCAGTTCAGTTTCGTTTTAAGTATATATTTTACTGAAACAATCAAATAAGAGGAAGGTTAAAGTGCTTTGTCTATTTTTACAAACCAATTGCTGTACTAATCAAAATGAGGGAAGATTCTATTCATCATAGTTGAGTTTCGATTGAGTAATATTTGTCAAAAAATAAATGACTAACTAATTAATGAGTTTATAAGTATCAACACCAAGGTTGGACTTGATATTTTCAAACAAACTAAGGGTTGGGTAGAGAGTTAATGATAAATATATTTTTGTTACATTCCAATGAGGTCATAACCTGTAATTTCATAATATTTTATTTGATTCATTAATAAATATTGACTGGTGTTCTTGTCATTATAATAGTGCCATGAGCCAATTGAAGCTAGACTACCATGGGAAACCTGGAAGCGATGGACGGCCGTTTCGTCCTAGTATGGGACTCCTCAGGAATGCACATTCAAGATCCTGCCCCCGCGAGATTCGAACACAGGACCTATCAGTCTCGCGCGCGAGCCCTTAACCATTAAACCACTGAGCCGGCATCCAACGGTGTTAATGTCTAACTTCAACTAATCCACGAAGTTGCGCCACCGTCACCGACTCATGATTTCAACTAATGAAATTACTAAAATCTCCGCAAAACCTTTTCTGATTATAATGGTGTCTATGTTTAAGTGTGAAGAACAATAAATGCTTTACCATATTTATTCACAAAGCAACTATAGTATGGTGCATTTCATCTTATTCAGAATAATTAATTCTGTTTATTTTCACACAAAATTGCATACAGTTTATGGTATTTGATATTTAATTTTGAAAACAGTCAATAATTTAGTATTATTAATTCATGCGATAATAAAAAACTCGTCTCTTTCCAAATCAGTTGTATGAAAGTTGAGATCCTTCGAAAGTGTTTAGGCATCCGTCTTTGTAAAAACAAAATTTTCTCTACTAATTGATTATTAAGACGTTAAGACAAGTTCTACTTCCATTAACTTATCAGTACATAGATTAAAGTTATATTTACGATTAACTTTTTACATGCTATTCGTTTTATGATTATAAGAGGTTTTTTTATCGGGATATTTCGTGGGCTTAACCATTTGAATGACAAACATATATATTATGAACTCAAGTGGAAAGTCTATTTATTTCCTCGGTTTAAACATTCTCACGGTTAGTTTCTATAAATCAGTTCTTTACTCCATTTACAAGGGTGGTAAATATTAAGGTATAGGTGAAAGATTTTCCATCATTGAGGAGCGTTTCATGAAAAAAGAACTTAGTGTACTGAAAAGTATACGGTCTGAGAAATTAATCGGAACTTTTAGGTTTAAATTTAATGTGACAGCTGATTCCTTTCTTTTTATCAACAGATGAAATTGTTAGCCGCGGTATGCATACTTTTGTATTAGGAAAAGTTTTATGTATGTAACATACATTTTCTCAGTATTTTGGATATCAAAACATATAGCTTTGTTTAATTGCTCATCCTTGGAAAATAAATCCGATAGAATAGCACTTTCGTTGATTATTTTAAACAAGTTAGTCATTCGCTTTATTAAGAAGTATTGATGTATCAAGGATTTTATATCTATAAACTGTCTGACCTTTTGGTGTTACGACTATTTGAGAAACAAAATCCACGCAACATTTACAATCTGCTTAGAGATATAGTCCCTTGGTTTATTTTCAGAAGTACTAATCACGTATTGAATACTGAGGTCATGTCATGATTTAAAGGAATCACTAATTTCTATACTTTAGTAATTTATGATTAAGTCGTTTAAACTTCTAGTCATATGGAATTTAATGTACATTAATTAATTATTCATATTTTCAGAAGGATCTTTCTTGAAACTTACACTTCTACCTAGCAATTAAGTAATATTGATTAAGTTGATCTGGTTTTCAGTGTTAGACTTTCGATTTATAATTTGAAACGGAAAAAAGAATGTTGTAAGCTCAAGTGGATGTCCTTTTTGGTACTGTTACCCAAGTAGAGCCTCCCAATCAAACAATTAATCTAAGAAAACATAACATCACAAAAAAAAACATTCACACGCAAAAAAATAAAGTGAATTATTCTTAAGCTGAATCCAATAGTTTTAATGTAACTATCCTACGGTTATTATATATAATATCCCAATGAGTAGAAAAATTGTATTCCCGAAGTTTCGTGCTCTCGTGTAAGCCACTTTTTTATTTGCTCCGAAGAAGTGGCTTACACTTGTTATTATAATGGTGTTTATGTTTAAGTGTGAAGAACAATAAATGCTTTACTATATTTATGGTACAGCATCAATTGTTCTACTATGTATATGGTAAAGCATTGATTGTTCTTCATACTTAAACATTCATTAATAGATATTGACTAGTCTTCAAACTCCAAGGATGGAATGGACAACACCGGATATGAAGACATCGTTGAACAACAAAGACTGATAGAAAAGAAAGAGACTGGTCACAGATTTGCAAACTTTTGTGCCTTCAATAAACTGGTCATTGGCGGAACCATATTCCCACATAAACGCATACACAAAGCCAGATAGATTTCACCGGATCACACTACGCAGAACGAAATCGACCATATCGGCATCAATAAAACGTTCAGAAGGACTATGGAGGACGTGAGAACCAATAAAGAAGCCGATATAGCCTCAGATCATCAACTGCTGGTCGACAAGATGAAAATAAAACTGAAGAAGCACTGGACAACAGGGCCGGCAACATCACTAAACTTTAGTAGAACTTTTCTTCGGGATACTGACAGACTCAAATAATTCAAGATAGCCCTTAGCAATCGGTTGCAGGTAATTCAAATAGGCAATCACTTCAACATGTCATGAGGTTCTGGGCCACAACAAACATTATCACAAGGAATGGATCATTGTTGATAAACTGGATTCAAGAAAGAAGGAATAAGAAGGCAGCAATGAATATCAACCGAACAAGAACAGAGGAAGTTAAGGAACAAACTGAATACATAGAAGCAAACAATAAAATCAGGAAGAGCGTCAGAGCTGATAAGCAGAAATACATGGAATACCTAGCAATGACAGAGGAAAAACTACAAGAGAAGAAGCATAAAACAACTATATGACACAACGAAGAAACTAGAAGGGAAATATAGTAAACCAGAGACACCAGTCAACGACAAAGAAGGCAAGCAACTCAGTGAGATTCAAGAACAGAGAAACAGATGGGTCGAACACTTTGAGGAATTCTTGAATCGACCAGCTCCACTGAATCCACCGAACATCAAAGCAGCACACACAGACCTTCCTATAAATTGCACTCCACCAATGATCGAAGAAGTCAGCATGACCATCAGACAAATCAAGAGTGGGAAAGCAGCAAGACCTGACAATATACCAACCGAAGAACTGAATTTAGACGTAGAAGTAACTGCAAACATGCTCCACGTTCTATTCAGGAAGATTTTGGAGGAAGAACAAGTGCCACTGACAGACTGAAAAGAAGGATACCTCACCAAGATACAAAGAAAGGAGATCTGAACATGTGTGAGAACTTCGGAGACATCACACTACAATCGGTACCAAGAAACGTTTTCAACAGAGTGTTGCTGAACCAGACGAAAGATTCAGTAGACGTCCAGCTTCGAGATCAACAGGTCGGATTCCGTAAGGATCGGTCTTACACAGACCGAATCGCGACACTACGAATCGTCGTTGAGCAACCAATTAAATGGAACTCGTCACTACACATCAACTTCATTGACTATGAGAAAGCTTTTGACAGATATTAATGAACAGTTGTCTATGCAAGACACTCCAGATCCGTTTGCTGCATACCATCAGCAACAACCTACAATGACACAGAACAAACCAGATTTCATTTGTAAAGGAAATTAGATAGATGCCGGCGGTGGGTAAGACATACATTTCGAAAACCATAAAACTGCATCACGAGGCAAGTCCCGACTTGGAATCCTGAAGGTGAAAGGAAAAAGGAAGACCAAAAAACACATTGCATTGACAGTTGAGGTCAGATGTCAAAAGAATGATTAGCAATTCGAAAAAAACTGGAAAGGATTGGCCAGAACAGAGTTCGATGCAGAGTGCTGGTGGGCGGCCTATGATCCTTCGCGAGGGGTAATAGACGTATTAGGTAAGGAATAAGTTTATTCCTATTAACAAAACTATTTTAATATCGTTTATCTAATACCTGTTTCGATAGTATTTATTAATAAAAAGTGAAGCATTAAAACTTTCCAAATAGTTTACTGAGTAGATTGGATTCATATGTATTCGAAGTCAGTCACCAAGTGTTGAAAGACATTTAAGTAAATATCGTTGGAATTACACTCGATAATGTAAACTTCGTTTACGACACAATAATAAATGCATTCAAACCGGTATATATGAGAGCACTATGAGAATAAAATCCAGAATCATGGAGAAAATACAATAAAACGTAAAAAAAACATTTGGTCGAAAGAGCAAATTATTTTTTATTATGAACTAATTAACACTTATAGTAAGTTGTTCTATTCCATCAAAGTACCTGAATTTACTAAATACACTTTTCCTTTAAGTTGAAATTGTCAGTCAGGTTAACGATCAATAGTAAACTTGTCACAGGACCTCTTGTGACCTGATGAAATTTTCATTCAGCGCTCCTGCTTGTTTAGTCTTAACAGGGGAAACTACCTGATTATGAAATTATTTCTCAATTTGTCTTGGTTCAGTACTCATGTATTCAGTACATAATTAATGAGGCTTTCATCATCGTAAGTCGTATCATGAAACTGACTAAGTGACGAATAAAAAAACAGCATTAAGTTTCCAATCTATGTATTAAGAGTGGTTTATGCAATTATATTACCAAACAAACAATAAGGACTACTGGGTGAAATCAGAATCATACAGCTTTGTGATGAATTGTTGTGATTAATATCATAATATACTTAATGAATTTAAATACACTATAAAATTCTCAACATGTACAACATAAAACTAAGATGAAAAAAAAGAACATGGAGCCTAGTTTCTAAAACTTACGGATTTTAAACAAAAACTAATATTGAACTTCTTAAAGGCTATTTGAGTATTATAAGATTATAGAAAACAAATACGTATGTACTCAAGCATATTAAAATATACTTTGTCTGTTTGAGTGGTTAACTGAAAGTGGTGAAACAAATAATACTTGGAAAAGATATAATCATCTACCATTAAACTTTTATTGTCAGTATTTAGATATACTGGAATTTCTAATTGATTTATTATAATTAATAAGCTAATTCAATGTTAATTATGAGTTTAACAACATTTGTATTCCATTTTTATCATGAAAATACTCTCTCAATACAAATAGTGAACTTATGATCAACAAAAAAGTAAATAAATAGTAAGTTTGTTTTATCTGACGTATTCAGTAAAAAAGTTTTTTTTTCGTTTTTGCATTGGTTGTTTGAATCTTCCCAATGATATTTTGGGACTGGAATTGATCGGTCTTTAATTGGCATATATGCATTCTGTGAGGATTACATCCATATTACTCTAAACCTTAAGCATTATAAACACACCAGTCCAGTGAAGATTTATTGACTCTTCAGAAATATATCTCCAAATAAGTCTCAAAATCATATCAATCTTAGACCACGACACAATCTTTTGTATACCAAATTCCACGCAATAATGCCATATAGGGAAGAAATACACAGTTACTGTAAAAATACGCAATAAGTATAGTTCACGTGAATGAATACAGAGAATAAAATTGTCACAATTATCATATAGAACAAAGTTTATACTGAATTAATAATGGAAAATAGTGATCTCAAAATATTACAGTGAATGAAATTCGCACCTGTCACCGTGGTCGAAATTCATAATGAATGTCGTCTTTTTGTCCCACCACATCAGTAAAAATATAGATCGAAAATATCACAAATATTTATTAATTCCCAGTCCTATTGGACACCTCACGTTTTTTAGAAACAATTTTATTTAAAGAAGAAAAAAGCATGACACAGCGCATTTACAGAACACTGGGTTTATATAACACCCTAAAAATAAATAAAAATTCCCCTGAACTTTTTATTTTTTTACTACATACCATTTCTTCAGTAGTTGTTAATATGTCACTAATAAAAACCCTGGAGTTCTTGGAATAATTTAAACGTGTGAACTAATAAACATAAAAATACAATGTCTGATGGTCTATGTTGGAAAGAAGTTGGTGAAATGAACGGTTTTAGAATTTTTAAACCACTAAACTATTCTACTTAATAAAGAAATTAACAAAACACAATAAAGATATTGTAAACTAGACTCTCATTATGAAATGATGTTAGCTGATGAACGACGGAAAATATCAAATATTAGTCCTTCTCTATGGCCGCGTAACATATTCAGAATATCTGAACCAAAGAATTTGTACATTAAAAGCTTGTTTGCAATGACTACCTTTACTTCAATTTTGATTTGTACATTGTCGACGGTAGACTATTGAAGTTTTATTAGATATTTTTTTAGCGTTGTTTAACATTCCGATAACTGGAAAGAATTGACTATCAACATCTAAGGTTGTGAGTTCTGGATCAGCTACAATATTGGGATTCATGTAATCAACTCTCATTTTTTGTTATGCAAGTCTTGTTATCTTTAATAAATTTAAATATGAACACTGAAAGCAGTAATCAGCTTTGTGTAGATAGTGAGAAATGCAGTCCGGAGTATAAGGTTGTACGAGACTACTGAAATAAATTTCTTTTTAACGAACCAAAGTGAATAATCCATTTTGGATAATTGGGGTTTCGTGCTAACTATCAGAGTGCATTGTGAGCTTAAGAATGAACAGCTGTCAGTTTCCAAACAATAACCTAATTCAGGGAAAACAATATTTTGTAGAATTTTGTAGAGAAAACTCTATTACACATGAGGATGAGTGAGATGGAAAAAAATGTATTGTTCATAGAACAGTTTTTACACTCCGAAATATCTAAATTATTATGAAATTACTTGAAATAGTCAGTTAATTAATTTAATCTATATAGCTGATGCTAACCGATACAAGAAAATGCAGGTTCAATTAAAGTGAAACAATAAAACACCAAAAGCATAAGGTTCATTTATAAAAGCTCGAACGTAGGGTTAATATAGAACACTTCATCACAAACTTTGAGTAGACATTTATTTAGCAAACATTTGTAAATTGATTTCCCATCACGCATGATTACTTTCCTGAACAAATTCTTAGACAAACAGCCAACATAAAAGCACTGAATCTTATGTCTTAAATTTCACAGAATTCCACGTCTTCTAGTATTCTTATTTTTGTTATCATCAGCAAATGATTTCCTTTAGAAGGAAAACTATAAAGACAGTGGGATATGGTGTATGCATGTCCATTAGTGAAGACCTTTAACTTTATCTTACTTTTTAACTATTCTGAGCACCGTTCGGCTCAAAGTGCACCTACTTCAGACCGATGATTTCAAATGCGAACAAACCTAGAACAGAATTATACAAATAAAATAAATAGTTAAAATAACGAAGTCATCTTGTCAAATATATTATATTCTCACCTCCATTTAACGAATACCATCTTGCACCATTTGTAATGCCATCACTGAAATGGTTATCGGAGTCATAGCACTTTTTAATCCCTTTTTTCATTCGTGGATGATGATCAGCATAAGATTCTGCTAGCTCACTAAAATTTGGATTTTTTGAAAATTTATTAAGTGATCAATTTTTAAAGTTCAGCTTATTTGTTGTCATAATACGTTATTGTCATTCAGCAATACACTGAATGCTGGTTGGTGAAAACACTAACTACTTTACATAAAATGGCTTTGTGCATAAAAGACCTTTAATTGTTGTGGCAGACCAAAGTTCAGTGATATAGATAAACTGAAACCTATCATTTCTTTCTATGTGTTTAGATATTCCCGTTGCTGACGTCAAGGATTGAATTTCGATTAATCTATCTTCTATTCAGTCATAAGTATATAAATAAAGACAGGTAGTGACAAGCAGTGGATTTCAGAAAGCCCATTTCGTCCTATTTGAATATTAACAATGGGAGCTTCTAGGTGCTTAGTCCCTAGCAGGAGACGAGAGGCCTAGATTTCACTCCTAGTCACCATCTATCTTTACTTTACTGTTAAAAATTATCCTTTTCTAGCGTAAAAACTTGTATTATCCTGTATTAACAAAGAATGATACCTCAAAATGATTTTGAATCGAAAACTATGTTTTTGAAATTAAACTGTGTACATTGGCTGGTCGGTTGACGTCACCCGTAATATTATCTGAATTCACATTGTTGACTGAATTCTACGCACCAAGAGATAAAGTACAAGTTCAGTTGAGAAAGTATGAAATCTTAACTCAAAGCTTGATATTGATGGAATTAAACTATTTGAAGCTAGGAGGTGTTTTATTTTTTCCATAGATGGACAAACCGAGTTCCTTACTTAGTACGGTTCTGAGATGGAGGATAAGATTTGTTTATCATGAATGAGGTGTCGACGGTGATGTGCTAACTGAATAAGCTAGTTAATCATAAAGCTTTATTGCGTGGCTAGGAAACCTAATCAACCGAAACTTCAAAAAGTAATATGCTACTGAAAATTTGTTTTCGAAATATCCATGATCTCATTTTTAAAGATAAGATTCGACACAATACATTATTTTTAAACAAGGACGGACGATAAGATACATGTTTAACTTCAGTTTTGAAAATCCATGCCTAAATAGGATGACAAGAGGTGATGTCCTAAAAAATTGATGATAGTTCATTTCAGTGTTTCATACGCGATCCTAGAAAATAAATGACAGGTCTTATGTCCTCCTATATATATATATATATATATATATATATATATATATATATATATATATATCCAGTAAAATCCGTGATTTAACTTACACAAAAGTAGGATTATCTGGTGTAATAGATTCGGCAGAATTCCCTGTAATTGACTTGTCAAACGGATAATTTGCAACCAAATCACCACCGTGTATATTAGCACCCAGCACAAAATTGATTTTTTCTAACCATCCCATTACCATTCTTGTCTCTACTTGCGCCTTAATCAGTTAGTTCGTTTAAATGAAAAAAATAGAAACTGAAAAGCCCTCAGTAACAAAAAACTAATAAATGAAAAGATAATTGTAAATTAAGATTAATTAATAACTTATTTACGCGAAATTTTACAGAATAAATGAAACTCAATATTCTCGATGATTAAAATATTCAGTTACGTATTAAGACATGGTAATAAAAAAATCGTCATAATGTCAACTTTACTTGCTATTTCTAGCGTTACAACAACTGTTGAGTGTTCCTAATATTTGTATCATGCGTTGTGAAGATTGAATAGATAAATAATTAAAATCGAGTATGAATTAAAGAAAATTTTCATTTACAAAAACAAACACGTCGAAGAAAGACGCCTCTAATTCTGAAATACATCGGTTTCCAATAGTGTAGGCTTTATACAACATAGTTCAAATAAGAACTGATAAACTCTTGTTGTCCTTATATTGAATGGGAAATTATGTTCAAAAAACAAGTTTCTAAGTTGGAAATCATTAATTGTATATTCCTTTAATAATGATAATCTTTTATATATTTAGTAATAATAACAATTATTTTACAAACATAAGGAGGGTGAGAAAAACCACGAAATATAATGTTCTTATTATGAGACTTAAAATGCATTCAGGTGCTTGAATATTGATTAGGAATATTATAAAAATTAAATAAAGATTAATAACTGTAATAATGAGCTAGAGAACATTCTGAATTAAATCTTGAAGTTGATATCATAATTATTTTTACAGCAGTATTGTATAGTTATCTGGTTTCTCGGTTATATTAGTTTTAAATAATGTATATTTATACAAAATAAAGTAATGCACAGGGACACAAAAATGTTTCGTAAAATAACCAGGATGGTATCAGTTCTCAGTTCCTAGTTCAACTGTAATATTCTTTTTTTACAAAGATATGTTATTATTTATAAATAAAAGCAAGTGACGGTCCTTAAATTCTCTAAGTTAAAATGCTATATAAAATCTACATTTTTGGACGGAAATAATACAGGTCACACTAAGTTTTAAGGTAAGCGTAGGAAAGTTTATGGGATTATGAAGACGTTTAATCAGCTGAATAACAGTTAAAACTTGTGAGTACAGATTCTAATTTTTTCCGCATTTATCGGAAAACAATCTGAAATACACAATGATTTCAAATTAGTTGACAAGCCAGTTTTTTGGTCACCTAACTTCTCCCACATACTATGTTGATACTTAGAATCATGTTTAGTATAAAACAGTTGATTAAGATAACAGATCAATGACTCAAACTAATTTGTAGATGTGGATCTCTATTTTCAGTGCCCTTCTCTGAACTTTATGATACTTAGAGCTTAAAATTATAGGTCTAGTATGATTAGTTCTCATTAAAAATTTGAAACCATGATTGAATTGACTGATTTGTGTTGAAAATGCGCTAATTGTACGTACGCCTTTAAGATGCTTGAATTTATATGCTGAATATATTTTAATACTGATTCGCAGTGAAAGTCAAAACGGGGTCTAAGTTTCTGTAATTGTAAGTATACATTTAGCTGACGTGTTCCATATGTTAGGAAACATAAAATAGACTGTCTTGTTAGATATTCTACACAAATAAATTTTAAAGCATCAATTTTACAAGTTAAACTACGGCCAAGCAGTTTATAACTTTAGACAGGCAGTCTTAAGTTCCTCATATGTAAAATCATTCGTTTGTGCTTTCCAAAAATATATTTTGGAAATAATTTATCCCACAAAATTACCCAAGCAAATTATTATAACTAATGTTTTCTAATTAAATCAAACACAATAGGATGAAACGGCCGTCCAGCGCTTCCAAGTTTTCCATGGTGGTAGAGCTTTAATTGACTCATGAATTGAATTATTGGATATATTAAAATCAACACCCATGGTCGGCTCCCTGAATATTAGTGGTAAATCAACAAAGTACTGAACTTATATGAGCAAAATAACAGGTTTGAAGAACAGTGAGTAAAAATGGGAGTGGTTTATTATTTATTTTTTCATGATGTTAAATCAGCAGAATTCAATAATTGCACCCATCAACACTCATTTTTGACAAAATTCATAGACGCTGTAGTTAATTTTCTATTCCAAATTCATAGAAAATTTGGACAAGAAAATTATTTCTCTAACATATGTTGTCAAAGATTGATCAAGACATTCATTTTTTGCTTCAAATATTTTAAAGAACCACGTTTAAATTTCAATCAAATATTCATTATGTTAGATGATACATTGAATATTAACATACTGATAATCAAAAACGGCTTTTGAAATTATCTACATTACTAAAATTTCAGAATATCATTAAGTATTGATGATATAAAAACAGTTGTTTAATTCCAAGTTATCTAAAACCAGATCCTGCTACAAGATATTAGTTGCAGAAAAACAATTAACACTGTACGCACCAGCTAAATCCTTCACAGAAAATTAGGTCTCTTCGTTTGTGTAAACTACTGACCACCTTGAAAATTAACATAATATGTAGGATCTTATGGTATCTATATATTATCCAGTTTCACACAAAAGGGTCCATTCTCGTTGTTTTAAGGTAAGAGATTGCAAACAGTGAAAATCGGTTTAATATAACAAACCAGTGGATTCCTCGCTACAAGACCCTTAATATATATGGTCTATTTCGATTATCGTCAAAGAGAACAAGATTAGGTTCTTTAAATCAACTTTAATTAACAATATATTTCAAGAGAAATTTAAGTTATTGCTTAAAGACTAGTTAGCACTCTAAAATTGTAGATTAAAACACTTATATAACTGCTTGAATCCTATGCTTTGTAATGATCAAACGATAAGTAGATTTTTATAATTCTAATAATATGCAATTACTTAAGCATTGACTCTATATTTGTTGGTTCAGCGATTATTATTCATTCCCAAGCGCTTTTAGCAGAACATTCTAGCTACAAAATTTCCTAATTAAAAAGAATCAATAGTAAATGGTTTTTAACTTCATCCACGTTTTAAAATAAGATTACTCAAGTGGCATACCTTGTTATTTGACTATTTATACGATGAAGTTGACTAATTATTATATGATTGTAAATATTGCCAAACGTCCTAGTAGCCAGATTTATAAACATGGAAATAGTAGTCACCTAACAAACTAAGTCGCCAGATATCTTATTAAATTATGAATGACGTTGACAATATTCCACAAAGTTAGTGATTTGTAAATAAGAAATTTCACTAGAAGACCTATTTATATTTGTCAAATGTAAACATGCTTTTATGGTAAGATCTTAAATTACAGTATGTGTCCCACTTAATGGTTAGGAAAAGATTGAAATATCATTACTGCTCATGAAAGAAAAGTTGGTGAATTTCAATTACATTCTAAAAAAGTACTGGACTTGATAATTTCTCGAGTTTGCTAATTATTTAAACATTTTTGGTGAAGCGACAAACGTTCAAATGAATAATGTGCATCAAAAAATTGACTTTCGCTGAACCACTGGCTATGATTGATGAAAGTTTAAGTTAAACATCCGTTCTTTAATGAAAATACTGGTAAGGTTAGTTATACTTTCGAGTTCATAGATTCCCCTAACAACATGGAGGTGAAGACCTTTAAATCCAGTGTTCTGATTCGTACAGTTACCTAAAAACTAGGATATTTACAACAATGTCAACAAAATTCTCAACTTAAATTATAGCAACGATGAAAATAGAGTATATTATGTGAATTAACTATTAGTCAAAGAAAGTTTACAATAAGCCGTCAGGTGGAAGCGTAAGCATCAACAATTGGTAACGGTGCCTTCTGAAATAACATTTATAAGAAATTCGGAAGCATTTTTGCATGAGATTAAAGCGATCTTCAAAAAATTGCGTAATACTAGTAAACCATTTGGCTAGATCATACAATAATTTGGCGTGTTTAAGGTGGATATTACATTTGACTGTCTGAGTGGAAACACGCGGCTCGACTTATGTTAATATTTAATACAGTCGTTATGTTGTTACGCAGCACAAAGCCTTATGTAAGACCTTTGAAATATTTTTGAAATTCTGAACCCGTAAGAATTTTATTTTTTACATCATTTAAGTTTACCTTCTCCACATCGATTTCATCAGGTTGTAAATGGTCCAAAGGTCCACCATTACGCAGATTCATATAAAACTTTTTTGTCAAGTCAGGAAAGTCCCTGTTGAGATCCACTTTTCTAGAATTGCATCTTCCTAATTCATGAAATTTTTTCTACATTAAAAAAATATATAATTCAATAACATTGTTACGTTAGATGCGGCGATTTCCCAACCGTCCGGGTTCATTGAGGGCAAAATATGGATTCTCGTTCGGTTAAGCAGTTTGTGGACGAATGTGTTTTGTGAGGTAAATTCATCACACAGGTAGACGGCCAAACGTATTAACAGCTCTCTTCCAACAACTTCATCTCCATGCATGTTGGCAATATACTTGAACTCCGGTATACCTACGTCATTGATGACATAAATGTAAACAGTACCTTTCACAGATGTGTTGGCATACTTCCCGAAAGCTATCACAAATAGTCTGTTTAAATTCGGTGTTGTGGTGATACGACCAGTTGTTAAATAGTAAGCATAAGAAATATCGGGGCATTTCTCGATAACTCTGTTGATTATGCGTTCAATATCTGCTTGTGAGTGATGATTCTGCCATGAAATAGAAATTGTAGAGCTCAAAACTATAGGGACAAAAAATAATCCGAAAAGACAGTACATCTATGGTCTTCATAAATTTGCTGAAATGTATATTTACGAAAATGAAATCGTTAAACAAAAATCTTTACTCATTCAATATCCAATATCTTCGTCACCAGTTTGTATATATAATACTCGACAGTTCGTAAATTTGCGTCTAGTTATAACGTACTTTGTGTGTTGGATGAGTGTTTGGAGCATTTAGTTAAATTATCTGGGAGAGAAAAAGTGAGCTGATAACCTATCAGATCATAGAATTGTAGTGACTCACGTTTATCACGAGAACACGACTGGTTTAATAAAAACAATTATTATTATAACCAACTGTACCAGTGTTTGTTTTAACGTGCTTTTGTTTGACTGTGCTAATGACAGCTATTTTGTGCTTCTATTCTTTCACTTACACTTTGATTGTAACTTCGCGCGAATTCGGTTACCTTCTGTAACCAAGGTTGTATCCTGGCACGATCTCGGTATCCTTTCGATGCCACGAGGTCGCCAGCTAATAAACCTCGGCTTGGTCCATTAACTGTCTTCTGATATTTGGCTTCTCGGGGATTTTATCCATCTATTTGGTTACGTCCAACCCTCGCCTTCTGATTTATTTGGCACGTGTTTCTTGGTAGCGGTGTTCATAGTTAATCTCAACTCGACGCCACGCTACAGAATGTACGCATGTTAATAGCCAAAGCGATTGACAAAAATCAGGGAAAATATGGGCATTAAATAAGGACAATATGATAATCAAAATCCGAATTCGACGGTATAGGGTTTCAAACGTGGTACAGATATGCGATTGATTTCTTTGGGCTCACTTCTTGTTGTTTCAGTAGGCTTCCAGGTATTTGGTTATGTCCGACAGGTGATAGTCAATCCAATCGACTTCATTAATTACAGTCAATTTGATAGTTTTTTTTGAATGTGTATATTTTATAATTCGACTGAATTTATCTGTCTCAGGTCAGTGGGTTTTCTGTACATCAGAAGCTTTCACACTAGCAATCAGGCAATTGGCTAATTTCTACATGAAAAATAATAAAGCGGCAACACTAATGCTTAAATAACGCGGTTGCTTCAAAATATAGATAAATAAGTTAATCGATCGGTTATGAAGAAAATGTGAGAAGATCGAATTTAACTCATGTGACGGGTGAATTTATCCGCAACGCAACCATGTAAACTTAATGTATCGCACACGGTCATCTGTGCGTTCAAGCAACCACAGATTTTGTCATTTCATAATGTATTTTTAATTAAATAACTAGATTATGTTGTTAATTTTTCTCCGTTTTTGATTTTTATTTGCCACGTCTGACTGCGTTACACTGTACCTTCATTGCACGCTGGGATTTTATCCCAAGTCGTAGTGAGTGTAATCACATAGTCGATTGTTTCCAGATAGACCGTCGGTGCATAATGTTACTGAAGAAAGGTTTGTTGTACTGTGAACTATGTTTCTATGAACAACTGACTTTTGTCTTCAGTCGGAAAGCAATATATACATTTTTTGTCTTCTGTTAGGTAAGTTCAACTGGCCTATATTTCGTGTTTTGGTTTTATCGGCTGAATTATGTCCATTTAACTACTTTGAGCAACATGTCTGTGCAAATGAAACAATAATTATGACACTTGTCTAGTTTAGTATTCTTGGTTGTCGCATAATTCAATTTAGTTGAAAGAATTATGGTATACTTAAATATAGTGCTTGAAGCCTGTAACGAAACAGATCAGTTTAGTAAGTAGAGCTGCCCGTTCCTAATGAGCATACTGATTCATATCAGTCTGATTAAAAATAGGAAAAAACGTGCCTTTTATGCTGTTGCTGTCATACATTATAAGATAGCGATAAGTATGTTTGGTGTTTATTTCTAAACTGTACATCTATCACTGACCATATTTCATGATCACTGTCATTAAACAATTTCCCCAGCAATAACATCGGTAGCAAGATAGCTAAGTGTCTGAGCTTCTAGTTGCTCTCAAAACAACAGTATACAGTCTTAGAAGATGAGTGTTCTGTGTCTCAATTAAATGCAGCTGGCTGTGGACAAATGTTAAGAATCTTTTCGACAACTGGTACTTTTAGTTTATCAGACACTAACTCTGCTTGTATGTTTTCCTGTTAAACTAGACGCAGATGCATGGGAATACTTAAATGGGAGCAAAATAATAAAAGCATTGCAATACGGTACTAAGCCCATGTTATGCTTTGCACAAGTAATAGTAGCTGAACTTATCTAATATTCATGAACTCAAGGTAAATCACAACTGCATAAATTCTTTGCTAAAAAACGTGTAATTTGGTTATTTATCTATTCCACATTTCTGACTAAATTCATCAATTTTTTTCAATTAGAATGCAACAGGAGTGAGTCTTCACAGATCCTAAAAATTGTTTCGCCCTTAGAACTATGGCCCTATGGAACTGTTTACGGGAGACCCAACGAACAGCAGATTATAAAAAGGATGCTGGACGTCCATTTTAGTCTCACAACCACTTTCAGTATTTTTTGACTTCTTTTGCTCTTTCGTTTGGAAAAAAACAACAAAAACTGCAGCTTAACATTACCAATGCAACTTTTAAACGGGAACTTGGTTTAAACCTTTGTTTGATATTCGACTCTTCATGAAAGTTCTTGAGTAAATTTTGGAATCAAATGCTACTTTGTTTTATCTACTTAATCGTTGCAAGAAACTGGTGATAAGCGAGCCTCTCAGCACCTAGTTCATGTGTTCAAATGGTTGTGGACGGAATGGAAGGAGCTTTCGCTTAACAGGCTTCCGTGTCTAGTAGCAGGGGGTCACCAAAACCTAGGTATGTTAACAATAAAAGAGGAAAAAGAAATTGGTAAATCATAGTATGATACTATCCTTAATCCTTAAGAATAGATCCAGTTGCCTCTTAAAGGACTCCTGGGAAGTCGCTTGGACTAGCTCGGCCGGCAGCGAATTCCAGCATTTGACAACTCCTAAGGAGTAGAAGTTGCGTCTACAGTCCGTTCTGCTACGTTGTGTCTCTAGTTTCTGGGTTTTACCCCTTAGATTATTGTTGAAACTAAGCTTAAGTAGGTGTTTAAGAGAATGTCCAGAAGTGTTAAGGATACTGTAAGCCATTAGACGGTTACCTATAAGACGTTTATACTCTAAGGGGTAGAGGTTAAGTGATTGGTGGCGCTCTTCATAAGGTGATTTGGTGCATATCTTCGTTATTTTCTTGGGAAACCTACAGATTCGGGTCCTCTCACAACTTATTCTAGCCACCATGAGTTGTCACGGCAGCTGATGGATGGACACGCGTTACACATCCTAACCGTCCCTGTGTCTAATCCCATAGCTGCTTATTCAAATGTCATATGATAAGCAAGTAAGGCCTATACCGACACTAATGGAACACGAGTGACTCAAAGACACCCTGTATGGTACTGAAGATGACACAGGTATTTAGTGTTTGACAACGCTTCTGCCAGTAACGCCTAATATAATTCGTTCCCACCCAGAGAAATGAAACGACAGAGTCGAGAAGATCGGAAGAGTGTATTTGGCGGTAACCAATATATCAGAATTCTCTGATCTAATCTGGCTAGCGATTGCACTAGCGGTTGAGCACGGCTTTACCACACGTGAACTGGTACGTATGCATGACCGAGCGCCTTCAGCTAGATTAGTCCACTAAAACATATGGTCAGCATCCAATGTCGAAAACTTACAGAGCTAGTTATTTTAGGGATTCATTTACCGCTACAGTATTTTATATTGGTCTACGCAGTCACTTAGCTCTTTAGTGAGAATATTACTACAGTCCTGCTAAAAATCCCATGAACCCCCTACCTCCATCAAAACAAACAAGCCTGTATTTGCTGCATATAGCAATTTTACGTTTCAGAAGATATAACAGTTAGAATTGGAGTAAAATGGCAGTATAAAACAGATGCATGTGTTACATGTCTTCGTCGATCAACTGAAACAGAGAATACGGATATTAGCTTAATAGGCTTATTTAGAAAGGCTAGTGTCTAATTTGAACGTACTGCGTGAGAAGGTTATACTGGGACTATGAATAATGTAGGGATCTAGTCAACCAGGGTGTATGAAGCACTCAAACTGGAAGACAGTTGTCCAAAAATTATTCGAATATGAAGGTGAGAATTTGCAGGCACTTTTCATCGTAAGGGTGAACATATTAGGTGCCGGTTGACGTCATACAGTAAAGAAAACAGGTTTGCCAGTGGTGAAATATGATCTTTGAAAAAGTTAGCTTAATAACAGCTAATTACCTTTTTACTCCCTGATCATGACCCTTCGGCTTCATTTTGTGGCCAAAACAGCAAACATACACTACACACTGGTAGCAGATTTCCGGATTTTCAATGTTAAGCTTGCTTTAACGCACTGCGTAATGAGTACAACCCCTCTATTACTGCTATATGGCATATTTTTAATAACAAACCCTCTGCGATAGATTGGTAGCATCTGTGACTTCATCTATAGTTGTCGGAAGTCTGGGTGCTTTCGAAATCAGTACCGATATACCGTACTGCTGGGCACTCTGTATTAGTTTGACTCGTTGGTGGGATAGTGTTGTCCACAATACTGAAGAAAATTAAAGACCGGAGATTGTTTCCATTCATTTTGCCGATAACATCATAAAGGACAGTTAGGAACGAACATGCGGACAGTTAGTCACAGGCGGCAGCAACAATTATTTTAGCTAAAAAAACGAACTTCGACTTTGGATATCTAGAAAACAAGTCGATACAAAACCGATTACCATTTTAAAACATAAGACTAGCCAGCTTGGCTGAAGAAATACATTGACTTGAGTAGAAGCAGCGAAAACCCAAAACACAATGCTGATTCGAAGTAAGTTTCATATCAACATATAATACATTACACTAACTGCGGCATTTTAGCACACTGAGACATTAAATTACACAGCTACACAAAAGAAATAGCTGAAAGAAGCACAGAACGAAGAAGGCCGGCCGCCATTGCTTACGAAGATGGCGGATGTAATAATTCCCGCCTCATTCTGATTGGTTGCTAAGCTGAAGGGCACATTTACGAAATTGAGTTGCGTTTAGTTGCAGCCGAACAATGCACTAACTGCGGCATTTTAGCACACTGAAACATTAAATTACATA